AAAATCTAAAGCTTAATAAAATTAAGATCTATGTAATAACCCTCATAATAAAGAGAAGAAGTTTTTTTAAAAAAGTTTTAAAACTTTTAATAATAGAGTAAAAAAATCTTATCTTACATAAAATCATTATAGAAATAAAGTGATAAAATATAATCTTAAATAATTCAATAAAACAGTTCATTAAGAAAGTAAATAATAAAATAATAGTTTATTAGTAAATACAATAAAATAGAATAGAAAAAAAATAGAGTTATTAAATTTGAAATAACAAGTTCATATATAAAATTTAATATGAAAGAAAATAAAAAAACAAATGTATATAAAGTATATTTTTTAAAAAAATTTTAATAAAAAAACTTTTTTTATTAAATTGATTAATGATAAATTTTCAATTTTAAATAAATTAGTTACAAGAAAACCTGATTTTTATAAACGAATAAAATATATTATATATAATAATAAGATAAAATAATAGAATATTTATTAGAATATTTGATCTTTAAAAGTTAATTAAAAAAATTACGAAATAAAAAAATAGATACAATATAATTTTTAAAAACTTTAGAAAGCTTTTGTAAAAAAGAAAAGTAAAATAGAAAAATAAAGAAATTTAGACTAATTATAAATAATAAAAAAAGAATTAAATAAACTAAATAAATAGATTTTTTGATTAGTAAAATAGATTTTAAATATTAATTAAAATATTATAAGTTTTTATATTAGTTTTAGAAAAGATAGTTTTACTTTAAAAATAATAGATCTGAAAAATATAAAAAACTAGTATAAAGAAAAAATATAAAGATTTTTAAGTTCTTTGGATTAGAATTTGTATATTTAACAAGAAAGAAATTATTATTGAAAGAAGAAAATTTAAAAGTTAAAAGTTTAAAGAAAATTTTAACAAATGAAATAAAATTATTAGATTTTGAGTTCCAATAGAATCTTATATAGTAATTTATAGTGATAATTTATAAACAATAATGTTATTAATCAAAAGAATTTTTATCTAAACTATTAATCAATGATAAATTATTTTTAAAATTGTATTTTGAATTTTAAAAAAATATAAATAAAAATATATAAGTTAAATAGAAATTTAATTTTTGTATAATAAATAAATATATTATATAAATTTTAAACTAATAATTATAAAATGAAAAAATTTTTTGTTTGCTTTAAAAATAATAATCAAATGTTTAATAAATATATATTTAATAATAAAAATAAATATTTTTGAATTATATAATTATAATTCTATAATTTGAATTACAAATATACCATTTAAAAATAAATAATAATAATAATAATAAATTAACAAATTAAAAGAAACTTTTAAATTAAAAATATTAAAAAAATTTTTATCAAGATTTTTTTTAATATTTAATCATTAGTTCAATATAAATTGTTATTTTACTTAAAAACAAAATCTGATATTGTTAACTGATTTAATTGAAATAGTAACAAAAAATAAAAAATAAAAAATTTAATATATGCAATAAATAGATAATAATAATTGATTACTTTTACTATATACAGTATAATGATATTATTATAAACCATAAAAAAAAAACTTTTTTTTGTTTGAATTTTTCATTTTTATTTATAAGATAAACCAATATATTCGAAATTGATATTACATATAAATATTGCATATATTATTTTTTACAAATAGTATTGTTATTATTAAAGAATTTTAAGTTACAGCCAAATACAATTTATTTATAGTAATTATAATTTGTTGCAATTATAATTTAAATTCCAGTTCTTGTCTTGAACTTGCAGCCATTTGATATTCTATAATACATTCGAACCATTTAAATTATATTCCAATACTTTTCACGTGAAACACTGTGAGTGAGTTGTTGATTTCGTCATGATGATCCAAGTCCAAGTTTTGTCTAAAGTCATGAGTAATCCGCACTTTGTGATCCAGAATCCGCTTTGCGTAACAAAATTTCGGACTTGTACAATTCAATGCATATAGAGATCTTATGTAATCAAGCTTCGCTCAATCCCAAACTTTATTTTATGCGGTCTAAAAACGTCTTGCACGATCGTAATTCAAGATTACGTTTTTCATCCCTAATATGCTTGATGAATATAGATTTTTGTTATGTGATGATAATTAATCCATGATCAATAATAAGACTGGGGATTCTTTGATTTGATAAATAATTCACAGCCAACGAATCTAGGAATTTTATTTAACACTCTATACAGAATTTTATCTAGCTAGTGACGAATGAATGTCGACACGTTAATCGACGCTGTCTTAGAATCGACGGGGTTCTCGCCGAATTTTGTCAAATCAGTTTGAAATAGGTTGTATGTGTAGTGCCTTGCATCAACTGCGCGGAAGAAAATACTTAAATGATGGATTTTACGTGAGAGTGACCGGTGACGTACTGTACAGTATGTGATGCAATCTCATAAATTGGTATTCTCGAAAAACACGAACTGTTTTTTTTTAAAGAGCAGGGTTAAACAACATGCGCATAAAATAAAATTTTTTTTTCATTATTAATAATACAGTATACTTCTCCATTTGTTTGTTGTATTTCCAAATATAATGGCGGTTTAAGGATTTTAATAAAACAAGCATAACAATGCATTTTTTTTTTTTAAAAAAGCTGAACCATGCATTTGTTATTATCATTACTATTATTCCTGTATTATTTTATTTTATTATGATTTTTATCGATCGTTCTTTTGGTGCGCTCGGTACTTATTTCTAATTATGTACACACGAAACCCATTATTTTATCTTTTCCAGTTATGCATCCGGTTTTGTGTAGAACGCAACAGATTTCACCTCCTATATCGCATGTGAAAATGATAGAGACCAAAACATCCAGGCTTGCTTTGTTTTTTTTTTTTTTTTTTTTACAAACAACATCGTATGAATATTTGCCTACTCCACAAACGGTAGCGCTCGAATTGTGAAGATCTGATAAAATTGTTTTTTTCCTTTTTGTTCTTTTGAGTCAATTAAAGTTATCGCCTCAACGATCACGGAAACAAGATGCACCGCAGCCACCATTTAGAAAACGCGCGCGCCCCGTACATCACATTGTACCACATCTGAGAAAAAAAAATAGAAGTGTAAAAACCGGAGTGCATCTGTTATAGGCAAACATACAGAATTCTTTTTTTTTCGGATTGCATTAATTACAAATTGTCAACCAGTCCAATTCCATTTGGCCGATAGAGAATTAAAAATTTAAACTTTGACACCTTTTAAATGCCGCATCGATACTGCGCACAGTTAAGGGGTCAATGTTATCATCAATATCTATGATGAAAAAAAAAAAAATAAAAATTTTTTTTAAATTAAATTAAAAACAAAAATGAAATAAATGAAAAAAACGCTTCTGAAAAAACTAAAAAAAAAAAAAAAAAAGCGGAATTCTTCATCTCACCGCCAACAAGTTTTTTTGAACTTTCGCGAGATTTTCAATGAAAAAGATTGCCAAACTTGTTTGCAAAGATTACATCGAAAAAACAACTCCATTTTTTTTTTTTCTTTTTTTTGAAAATGAACACACAGAATACAATGTCATTTGTATTAAACACAAGAGTTTTTCTCGGGATCGAACCAATTATATGACGACACCATTGGTGAAATGCTCGAAATAATGTTTTAATTATTGCGGTGCGAGCACGTAACAAATATGCACCAAGAAAATTTTTACGTGCACACGTGTTTTAAAATATTCTTTGTTATGACAAATAAAAAATCATTTATCTTAATGTAACCGATAGAGAGCGGTAAAATTGCCAAGGTCACGAAGCATACTGTAACATGGTAAAACAAAATAGAACGCACCAACTTCGGTGATACTTTCCTAACACATAATAATACATCAAGTAAAAACAATCATGCAGTTTCGCGCGTATAGGATCTATTAGTCCTTCGAATTTACAGTAATGTTTCTTGCTCCATGTGCATGTGTTTAATTTGAGATGCATCCTCAAGCCAGATCATCCATTATCTTATCTCTCGTCGTATAACGCGCGTAATAAATCATCAATAATTGATTATTTGTTTTACCATCGGGTGCTTGTTTGTAAATAGAAATTCCAATTTCTCGCTTCACAAAACGACAAATATCATTTGTTTCTTCTCATGGAACAATAAACTTTCTGCTCATTTTACCCGGATCCCTGAGATGTGCACTTATTCACTGATGTTTCACCGCGCTCCCAAGGCACGATGTAGATTTTTATGCATTAAATAATAACAATAATAACATTAGTGAAAACCAAGGTAACAATAGCAACGGCAAGGGAGGTACGTGGTGCGCGCGGAAAAATTCAAATGTCGCGCGACCGTGCGATTAATTTATCATGAAACGAATGCTCTCGCAATTCCTCGAAGATCCTTTTCCGTTCTTTGAAAATTCCCTTATCATTAAACATCGCGACATTTTACATTCATGGTAGTGCTAATTAACATTCGACTGATCATCTCTTTCCGTTCCATTGTAACGTGATGCGCGCATTATCTACGTATTACCCACATGGCTCAACATTAAGAAATGATGTGTTGTAATACAATGTCACGAAGAATGTTATCTAGTTCTATATTCCTAATATGGAATTGTTTTTTGTTTACGGGTAAACAAGAAATGTTTTGATGGTATTTAATAAATAAGATAGGAAGGCCAAGAAAAGTTTCCTGTTCCATTTGTGGCAATTTGTGCTAACTCAGATAGATAATATAAATTCCTTTACGTAAAACCGTGGAAAGGGGCGCCTGTCTCACCGTCATTGCATTTCGTGACAGGTTTTGATAACGCTGCGTTATGTCCTATTTTTTGCGTGCTCAAGCTCACTAGTCGCATCATGTACCATATGAAGGATCCACATTTTTCTAAGGGCGAAAAAACCATTGTCTTACAATTTAGGCGGCAATCCACTATCAATCTCCGTTACGTGGCGATGAGGTTGCGTTGGTCATGGGGATGGCGATGGAGATGTGCGATGGCGACGGCGCAATGTCAAACAGTAGAATTTTCTATCACGTGACCGGTATCACACTGCCAGTTAAAAATGCAATGTGGGCGTCATTCAACGCCAACACCGATAAGAAGTAGAGTCCGCGTGTAAAATATGTATTATTTAAATTAGAATGGGAGAATGGTGTAATAGGGATGTACTAAATATGGAATAAAACTTTGTGACGAGATTACTTCCTTCTAGAAAATAACTGTTAACATAGATCTTAGAATGCACAATATCCCGTCTTCACAGACTTGACTTGCCATGATAATTTCCCCGACTTGGAAATAATTTTTATCGCGAGATCTATTCTCAAAGCATACAGGTGTAAATGTCAACACAGCGAAGACAAAGACCATAGATCGATGGAAAAGTGGTGAATGGCGTTTTCGGAATTCGGAAATTAAGCTATATGCAAGTGAGTTTGTCCCTTGCAGTGGTCGAACGAGATAGAATTTGGTGCGAGATGATGTCTGAACCATCGAGAAAGCGCCCACCTGCTTCGTGATTTTGAATTCGAGATTGGCGTCATAAAGCGTCAGGTGATGGATCTCATCTGGCCATGCCCACTTATCAGCAAAAACTGGTTTACTCTCGATCATTTCCAAATTCAAATAAAGATAAGAAATAAATTTCCTTTTTTCATAGAAAGAAACCTTAAACCTGATGATGCACGTTTCATCGATAACAACCACCTGACATCGAGACGCGCACCGAATCTTGGGCTTACCCTTTTTCCGTTTTCCTTTTTTTTTTTTTTTTCCTCGTGTTCTTTGTTTTTTCGGCTGGTTTATTCTTTCAATGAGAAAGTATATGGTTTCTGCCTGATGATGCATGGATCTTCAAAATATGGCTGATGTCTATGATCGAGAGTCGATATACAGTATCCATGATCAAGGAACAAATGAAAGAGAATCAAAATTAGTCCACCATACGTGGGGGTTTTTTTTTTTTTTGTTTTTTTTTTTTTTAAAGCCAAACCCAAGCCAATTTGCCGATCGATCCTTCGTTCTTAGCATTGGGAAACGAGTAAATGTGGAAATTATTCTCACAAACTCTATTTTGGAAGCTGGGATTATCGAATATTCCACGTTGTGCCAAAGTTAAAACCATCAAGATTTTATCTTATCAAAGAGGACAACGCTTCTTGTCTTATCTACATCGCGAAAGATCGACTCCAGTTATGTCACGGATATGTCGTACATCCTTGTTCGCGCATAAAGTTAAAAAAGGTTTACTTACAGTATGTACGTACAGGCATGTACTGTATGTGTATGTACCGTACGCACTGTATTGTGTTCATGTACGCTCAAATATACACGCTGTGTACCTTTCTTCAAACTCGTTATTTTGATAAGCAGCTTTCTCTTATCAAGGTGCGGAGGACGCCGAAGGTGGACATCAACAGAACATCAGATAGATGATTTGACTCGGAGAATCTTCTCCGCTTCGATTGCCGTCTACGAGGTGAGCCCTTTTTCTTTTTAAGGATTTGACTCCTTTATTTGGAAAAGTTTATTGTACGAAAAGGTCCACGGTTTACCGTCAGGCCAAGTTCCAGCCTAATGTTTACGCGCATTTATTCACACGAGTTTAATTTACTCGCATCCTTTACGGCATGATATTTATTCGGTGTGCATCATCAGTTTGCTAATTTGGAAGTTCTTATGGTTAATTTACAAACCTGTCGAGCCGGTAAACGAGGCCAATAATAATTGATGGACTTTTTTGGATCGCGAATTTGTTTCCTTGAATCGATAAGATTAAAGTATTCATTCGTTCGTATCTATGCTCGTGTTTCATCTTGATCAGATAAAAGTGGAAAGTTGTTTGCAACTCTGGTCGTTGATCTCTAAATAGACATCACGATTTTACATTTGTGATCAATTGGGAAACTTTCTTCATGATTAAAAATCTCCTTTGTCTCAGAGAAATTCGGATTTTAACTTTAATGTAATTCATGTTTCAACGAGTTATTGCTAATAAACTCTGCATTAATCATGATCTTATCTGTTTGATACTTGCTCGCGTGTTGTGTGTTTTCATCAATCTGTTGTGTTCAAGAGAAAATTACCGATTCCAGAAAGACGGAATTACCGCTATGGTAACAACATTCTGGTGCGTTCACACCACGAATGAGTTTCGACACCCCTATCACGAGCGATTTTTTTTTTTTTTTTTTTTATCATTTCGAACGCACCATACAATATCCATCCGTCCACATGGGCACGAGATGTGGTAAATCTTCAGGATTCTTTGTTGAAGAAAACGAGGGTACCACCATGAGGGTCTAATCTTTAATTTCGACGGATACCTAGATGTTGTACCCGTCAAATTTATTTCGTCATTCCCTCTCACTTCCTCTCGTTCAATGAGAGTCCTGCTAATGCATGTCCATCGGTAACTTAACCACTTACCGTGCATGTTTATTGATTTCACGTCCCTGTTCGGGGGACGTTCAATTAACCCTTGAGGCTAATCGCATTTAGAATAGTACATGCCTCTATTCTATTCAGATGTGTTTATCTACCGGAAGTATATACTGTATAGTATGCGTGGACTTCTCTTACATATAACGTTAAACAATATGTATGCATGATGAAATTTTTTCTTTTCTTTCTTTCTTTCTTTCTTTTTTTTTTTTCACAAACCAATCAGAGTCTCCATTGTGACGGGAGATAAGAACGTTTTACAAACAGCTATCAAAGCGCCCATTATTCTTTTTTTTTTTTTCTCGCTTTATTGTACACCCTTTGATTTGCTATTTGTGGTTTCTGCAATTATCACCGTCGTGCCAAAAAAAGGAATATTCGAGTTTTTCATTTAAACATAAACAGGTTGAGGTCTATCGGAAACAAACGGAGGCACATGAAAGATAGGTAATTAACAGTAGCCCAATCTGCAGATCTGGTTGTTTTTTTTTTCATTTATGTAATAAGGCGGTGTGACGTGTAACGAAGATTGCATCACGCGGAACCAATTCTGCCTTTGACGCGCTAAGATATTGTTTCTTGTTCGTCTTCATGAATGACACACCCCCGTGCATCAGAGTCCACGCGAATTATGCTGTTAACAGGAAATATCGTCTTTCTAATTCAAAGTCCTGAAGTGTCAATATGGTTTGGCTCCAGGGATTTTAATTATGGTTTTACGGTGCAGAATTCCAATAATACCTTAAAAAAAAAAAATACGCTTTACCTGTAATCAACATACAGTCACATCAACTTTTCCCGTCTCCGATATTTCCTTTTCTCACGGGCGATCTAATTCGTGTTTCGTGCGAGGAATATTGGTTGAACCATATGTCGTGATCCTTTATTTCTTGATTGGGTGGAAGGTTGATGGCCAAATGATAACTCACCATATACATTCGCGCAACGGTGAATATACTATCTTGAAGACCTCGCAACTTTTACAGCCATCTATTCTTGGCATCCTTTGTACTTCGCAGATGCGCACGGCGAATGTCAAATCTTTATCCTATCAACCGTGAACCAAATCGGGCATATCAATTATCTCAGGTATTTTTGAACTCCAGATCTCAACAACCTTTGACTCACACCATTCATTGAATGAATTAATTGTGCTGACGGAAAAACGGAAAAAAATAATTCGTTTGCAAGTTACGGCCAAAAGTCGGGAGACCAAAAAAATCTTGCCATACTTCTATAATCAATTTATCGATGGGGCGGAAAGCATTCGACGGCGGCGCGCTATCTCGAACTGGTGCATTGGCTTTACAAAAATAGAAAACCTGATAATATAACTCTATCGTGTCCACGCCATCAGCAACATATAATTTTGATCACAATACTTTTTTTTTTTTTTTTATTAATAATTACTAAAGAAAGATATTAAAGATGTTGGTCATATTCATCGTTAATTCTTTTTTAATGATCCCTGTACTCTAAATGCGAATAAAAAGAATAATAAAAAAAAAAAAAAAAAAAAAAAAAAAATTTTTTTTTATGTGTTGCACAGAACATTGGTCAATTGAAATTCCAAATCATTTATCCACTCATGCAACTCAATTTCAAGTAAAGTAAATTATTATTATTATTATTTATTATTATTTATTATTATTATTATTGTGTTTTTGTTTATCTAATCTCGTGTAGGTTGTGTTCGCTTGGAAATATACAGTGTGTACAATGTTTACTTTACTGCCTTACTGATGATTTTTATTTTTTTTTTGAGATTCGATTTTTGTATATAAATTCCCCTTTTTTCGCCCACTTAAAATTTTCTTCTGTATTCGCACCACGTTAGTAGAATTCGTGGAATACGATCTATTTAATCGATCCCTAATCGCAGAATAAAGACCTCTTCTACGTAAAAAAGCCGAAAAATTTCCCTTTCCCCCTCCTTCCTTAATAGTCTCTTCGCTTCACAAAGGTATCTTCTTCCTTAGATTCAAAAGTCGAAGAATTCCCGTTGTGTTCTCGCCAACAGGCAAACTAACCAACCGACTTTGTTTGATTTCCCCATAGCCTGATCATGTCAACAAATTCAACGCCTTGGGCCGCGGCCCCTCCAACATCAAATGGTGATACCGCGTGGACCCTAGCATCAACAGCCTTGGTATGGCTTATGGTCCCCGGTGTCGGCTATTTCTACAGCGGCATGGCCAGAAGCAAAAATGCCTTATCTCTCATCATGCTTAGCGTCCTATCAGTCGCTGTCGTGTCATTTCAGGTTAATTTCTTTCTCATTTCTTTTTCGATGATGTTGCCTTACACAAACCCTTGCGTGAGATCTCATTTCGTTATCTTCGTGATTTAGTGGTGGTTATGGGGGTTCAGTCTAACATTTGGTCCATCATCTAACGGATTCATCGGTAACTTGGATTACGCTTTCTTCCGAGGTGTCAACAGTACTTCCTGCAATGCAGCCGTTCCACCAATCGGCACCTCCGATGTTCCTATTGTCGTCTACGCTATCTTCCAATGTATGTTCGCCGCCATAACTCCAGCTTTGGCGATTGGATCCGCTGCAGAACGCGGTCGTGTCCTACCGGCCACCGTCTTCATCTTCATCTGGTCAACCATCGTCTATGACCCAATTGCCTGTTGGGCGTGGAATACTAACGGATGGTCGAATAAATTAGGAGGTCTTGATTTCGCTGGCGGTACCCCAGTCCATATCTCGTCTGGTGCCGCTGCTCTTGCCTACTGTCTTGTTGTCGGAAAACGTCATGGTCATGGAACTGATGAATTCAAGCCCCACAACGTTGCCAACACTGTTCTCGGCACTGCTTTCCTCTGGTTCGGTTGGTTTGGTTTCAACGGCGGTTCTGAAGTAGCAGCCAACAGCCGTGCGGCCTTGGCCTGTGTCGTAACCAACTTGGCCGCATCCGTTGGTGGACTTACCTGGGTTATTCTTGACTACAGACTGGAAAGAAAAATGTCTACCCTCGGTTTCTGTTCCGGAGCTGTGGTTGGTTTAGTGGCCATCACTCCTGCCTCAGGTTTTGTCGGTGCACCCGCCGCTGTAGTTTTCGGAATTGTCGGTTCCATATGCTGTAATGCTGCCGTCAAACTTAAGCATATCTTTGACTACGATGACGCCTTGGATGTGTTCGCCGTTCACGGTATGGGTGGTCTCGTTGGTAACATTCTTACCGGTATCTTCGCGCAACAATCAATTGTTGCAGCTGATGGTTCATCTATTCCTGGAGGTTGGATAGATGGTAACTGGAAGCAAATTGGTTACCAACTTGCCGATTCGGCAGCCGGATTGGCATACTCATTCGTCGTCACAATAATCATCCTTCTTATCATGGACAAGATTCCAGGGCTTTCCCTTCGTGCCGATCCAGAAGCCGAACTCAGGGGTCTTGATGAAAGTGAATTGGGTGAATTGGCATACTATCACGTCGACAGACTCGTTGCCATCAACACCAGAACGGGTGATACCAAACTCATCAAAGAAGAAACAGTACATCAACAAAATGATACAAATGTCACGATAGTGTAGATCATTCTCTGCTTTGCATTTCAATAACAAATCACATTTTTTTTTCAATTGCATGTACTCCTTGTACATATAAACTAGCCTTGTTTATTAAATGTTACATTTTTTTTTTTTCTTTAATAGAAGTTATTTATTTTGGGGTGTACAATAGTTATTTTTTAATCTCATCGTTAGTAAAAAAAAAAAAAAAAAAAAAAAAAAAAAGGAACAATTTGATCTTTTTCCGAAACAAGACGAGCAAATCTACTACGGTTAAGATAGGCACGGGCTTTTATGTATTATTCTTGCACAAATAAAAATTATTCGTTTTTTGCATTTTTAATACAAATCTTCAAATCTTTCCTTGAACGGTCTCAGGCTATTCTTAATTGTTTGGGGGGGATTTAAAAACCAAATTTGATCTCGTTTCTATGTAAGCCTGGACTGCAATTCGAACCGAAAGTACGCATTTAATCATAATATCACGAGTGTCCAAGACAAACGTTCTGTTAAAAATGGTGTACGGCACGGCGAGTCCATCACATCTCAATTGCATTGTTACAACTAATCAATAGAAGACGCGTATTTATGGGGTTGTGAGGTCATTGAATGATCCGAAATATTTCAATTGCATAAACCTACCTGCAACCTCGTCTGTACCAGTTATATCGATTCACGAAAGAAAGTCATTAATTCCGATTGTTTGCGAAATATTAACTCGCACTATTACAAATAAATACAGTATAAATAATAATAAAGGCAGGGAGATTATGTTGAATTTACTTTTAAATGATAAATAGCCTTTGCTGTGTCTACCGTGAATTGCCGCATAGAGTCTGAACCAGAAAAGCGAATCAAATAGTAAAAAAAAAAAGAAAAGGAAAAGAAAATCATTAGTAAAAAAAAGAAAAGAAAACCACTAGTAAAAACAATGTGGCGGTCTACCATAAAGGGCGTGGGTTGTGCGGCAATTTACTGTATTTATTGAAGTTTATTAGTACATTTAATTCCAATTATAATCAATATGTTAAAAAATGTCACTTCGTTTCTTCACTACCTCCTTTTACTCATTTTTGTGACTATCCTGGACAGTCTGCAACATCACAAAGCCGCGTTTCCGCGTGCACGTATCACGTACGTGTCGCGCGACTTACGAAATTGACTGCCAACAATGTAAAATTGTTGATTTTAGCTAACAATAATATACTGTAAGTGAGATACATAGCATTTTTTAAAATTCTTGTGTAAATTTATTTTAAATACTGGATATGATTAGCCATGTTTTCGTTTTTTATATACTGTATTTTTTCGATATTTTCGTATAGTACAATATAAAAATAATTTTTGTAAGGATAGTGCCGACTGGTTATAATAAGTTGATTCGACTACAAATCGGCAGCTTTCTTTTTTTAAAAAAAAAAAATTATTTTAATACCTGAAATTGATTATGGGCTCGCACGGGCACTGGATCGGCGCCCCGGTACGCGTATATCATAGTCGCGTCCCGCGAAAAAGAAGATACAGGACGGGCTAGAACATGACGTAAGTAACCCGCAAAAGAAAGAAAGAAAACCGGCAAGATAGAACAAATGGTAAAAAGACAAAATGCGAAAAGGATCAAAACAAGGTTGTATTTAAAAATCGTTCAAAAAAAGAGAGCCTGAAAAAATCTGATAAACAGCGTGGTCTGGGCAAAATGTATGCCAGACGCGTTCTAAAGTAAAAACTCGACCAACCTTTTGTTTTTTTTTTTTTTGTGTGTGTGTGTTGGGTGGTTGCGTTGTTTTTGCTACCCTCCCCCCTTTTTCGCTGCGGTTAGGAAGAAAAATTTATATTTATAATTGGCACATCCTTTTCCTATTGAGGCTTTTGTTTTTTAGTTTATGGTGTTGTATCGTATGGCCTTTAGTATTACAAAAATATCCGGAAATTTGATATTTAAAAACAATTTGTTTTTGTCTAGGAAACTAAAATAATATCACAGGAAAAAGAAGAAAGAAAGAAAGAAAGAAAGAAAGAAAGAAAGAAAAAAAAAAATTGGATAGAGAATTTTCAGTATACACCTGATACGAATTAGAATCAATTTGAAAGTGTAACGCCTCACCCCCCCCTTATCAGTTATCTTGTCCGATTCTTCTCCGTGATAGTAATATGGCAGTGCATAGGCCTAGTAAAACTCCTGACGTGCTGATATAAAATGTATTTTTAAAACATTCGCTTCCTAAACAATTATCTCGATGGAGTTCATCGTTATAGCCGAAAATAAAGTTAAACAGTTGACCTCCGAAAGCAAAAAACTATTTGCGCAAAAGGAATGTTGAATAAATTGAGCATACGTGGATCAAGGTATATGAAGAAATACTTACAGCACCAATTATTCCCCTAACCGAGATAATGTTAGTATTGTAGTTTATAATGCGCAGTGTACTTTTTCAAAACTTAACCAAGTTATTACCAATTGGCACAGAATCTGCGCAGTCCAAACCATTCTCTTGTTATTGTCGGTGCGATAGGAGCTAACGTACCTAATCCTAATCCTATCGAAATTGTCACTAGACACAGCATGCCAAGAGATTTTACCATAAAGCCAGCAAGAAAATGGCCGAAGAAGAAAAGTGTTCCGGATAAAATAACAAAAAATATTCGTTTAATGTTGTACAAATTTTTGGCGATATCAGAACCAAACCCCGAGAAGATTCGGCTTAGACAAGAGCTTATCGAAAATAAAGAAACGTGCAGATTTTGTAGTTCTTGTATTTCTTGCTTCATTCTACTCTGATATTCTTCCCCCAATAAATCACCCGGAGCATTTGAGTCTGGACTATGAGAATTGTAATATAAATGTTTGATGACATCTCCAACGTTGTTGATATACATCAATGCCGTTCCGGCAAGTAGAGCCATGGTGATGATAAAGAGGAGTGCATCTCTATCCTTAAATAACCCCCAACCGCCAACATCAGGCTCCTTCGGAGGACGTTTTTTAGGTATCAAAGGTGCTTCCTCTATTTGATTTGTTCTTACATCATTCGAAAACCTTGGACCCGATAGATTTTCGGGAACCTGATCAAATCCCTCAGTAAAAACAATCAATTCTTCATCGTCACGAGGAACTTTTACCAAAAACAAACCTCCGACAAACATAGATGAACTAGTTGCTATTGCGAGGAAGATTAGGAAATAATATGTATCCTTGAAAATCATATTATTGATTTGAGCGAATATAAAAGCGGAAGAACCGAGTAGTGCCATTGGGAAGCTGAAAGCGATTCCGAGATTCGATACGTGATTACTAGCCTTTAAGTAGACAGAATAGATTTAATGGATAGGCGAGTAAATGGATGAAAATAAAAAACTTTGGTAGATCGACTTACAATTATCCCAAGAACTGAATTCATACCTACACGCAGTAAATTAAGTTAATATATTATGGCTTAAATTGTATCATACTAACCATTGATTACCTAACGATGATGCAGCTCCGACCAAGAGAAGATACAACGAGCATAAAATAAACGATCGTGATTCAAAGACTCCCCCATATGTCATCGCTAGGCAGAAATATCCAATAAAAATGATAAATGATGAAAAGAAACAAGCCCTAAATAAAAAAATGACATGCGGTATTATTTAGTAATTTATCCGATAAATAATTTATTTGTAATTTTACAAGCACATTCAATACTTTCTGGATCCATAATTATCAACAAGATATCCATTGAGCGGGCCGCTCAGATAGAATCCATTAATCATCGCACCACTAATTATATTTATTTGCACCAAATTGAAACCCAATCGATCCGCCAGTGTAGTGCCATACGTCGAAAAAAGATATAAAGTACCACAGACAGACGACACGATAAGTGCTTGGAAGTATACAAACGCAAGCTTCACGTCTCGCGAATTCATTCTCAAACAGTTGATTTAATATTAAATCCGGATAGACAATGTCTAGGACACATATTTATAAGCTACAACCTAACGAGTACGACACGGCTCATTATAGTATGGATCTTCCATATCAATTCTAGATATAGCATTACGTAATGTTTTAGAGTTTTGTCTAATCTAGGTTTGTAAAGATTTATTTTAATTATATTAATTGACAATATAAAAGTTTATAACAATATATACAGTATTTAATATTTTCAAATAAATAAATAAAAAATTTATTTTTTTAAATTATTTAAAAATATTAAATATATCTAGTATAATTATATATTTTTTGAATTTACAATAATTTCATAATAAAAAAAACTAAAAAAAGTTCTTTTCATTAATTCTCAGCCCACTCACAAAAATGAAATTTGCAAGAAATTTTTTATTTCTTTGTTAATAAAATCTTAAGATTATTCTTAAATCAACTTGAAGTTTTAATTTAAGAGATATTTTTAAATTCTTTTTCTTATTTACATTCATTTTTAAACAAAATATTGATTTCTTATAACTTAGAAAAGTCAAGAAACATCTTCTTTATCTATAGCAAAAAAGTTTTACAAGGAAAAAGAACTAGTATTGTAACACTTAAAACCTTTTATATTGAAATATATTTATAGAGATTTTATGTAATGAAAAGTGATAAATATCAAATCATATTTTTAAAATATCCGTTTATTGTTTTTTTTCTTTTAGAGACATTTAAATTTTTTGATTTTCTGGAAAATTTTATCTATTTCAGTTTGATTTTAAATTTTAAGTGACACAATCTATTACAAAATATGATTAATAGATATAAAATACATTAATAGTTTAATATAAATAAGTACTTATTAGTTATCTCATATATTTTTATAATATCATTGGTAATAAAAAAAGTTGATTGGTACTTTGTTCCTTTTTTTTTTTAATTCATAATTATGTCACAATAGTATATCTTTATTGAGATATTGAGAAATACTGTACCTAAATATTTTACAGACTTTTACAAAATAACTAACTTGTCATTATATATTATTAGTTAAAGGATCACACTACTTAAAAAATATGAGAAGTCCACTAAGCTAGTTCAGGCTAAACAAAATTAAGTCTAAATTAGGTACTCTAAATTAAATTTAGGAGACAATATTTCATTCTTATAGTAGCTTGGCAGTAGTGTTTCTAAGTCAACCAAGATCATTGCCAATAGTTTGTCACTATTGATTATCCCAAAAAATAATGAATTACTAAAGTCAACACTGAAAAAAGAGGAAGAGGGAATAAAATTCAAAGCCCTCCAAAAGGTTTTTGCTCTATTTCAGTTTTCTCTTGAAAGAGATTTGCCTGATTAAGATATTCTTTAAGCTTCATAACATTTAAGAAACTTAGTCATTCCTGAAAGTGATTTCAAGAAAAATATTTGAGAAACTTATTTTTTTGTCAATGTATGAATTCGCTTATTGCTAATAAGGCTAGCACTATATTACAAAAGAGTTTGCCTAATCAGGATAAAAAAATCTTTTCAAGAACTTTGCCTAATCAGGATAGAAGCTTGAAAATCTCAACTTTTGTTCAAGAAAGTCTTTTCACCACCTAAGAGACTTAATGAAAGATAAAAGTTAGATCTTTTGTTCCTACTTGTTGCTTATCTTTTAGTATCATAATTGTTTCCTGAAGATTGAACATACATGATTGGAGGTGACACTTTTTTTAAAACTTTTTTCTTATATCATCAAAAATATATTGTAACACATGAGTGTAACCAATAGGGGCTTGTTTACGTTCTAAAAACTGACGTGTTTTAAGTTAGCCAATCACCTTTGATGAGGATTTGTGCTATTCAAAATTCAGGGCCAAACTGAGATAAGTAAAATTCCCTAGAAAACCATAAACATAGAAGCTCTAAATAGGAATCTCAATTTTTATTCGAATCCGAATGATCCACAGATTTGATTCAAATGAATCGGATCAGATTTTAAATTTTTTGATCCATTTGTATACGAATCGGATACAGATTTCAAATTTTGTATCCGATCGGATTTCAAGTTTTAAGTTAATTAAAAACCCCCCCCCTGGTTTTTTTTTTTATATTCCTTTAACACATTTACATGTTTCTTTAAAATTTTGTGATATTTTTTACAATATTTTTCTCATTGCAACATTACTGGTATTATTTATATCAAAATAAAATGGAATATGACAGTTCTTTCGATGATTCCAATGAAATAAATGATGGAAGTTTCAATTTAGATAACTATGAATTGAGCGATATTAGTAATGTTGCAACAAGTAGTTTTTTGAAGGTATTATCGAGCAATAAAATAAATTATAGAAGTAAAGTATGGAACCATTTTATAAAGGATTCTGATTTAAATAAAAGTAAAAAAGTTTCCTGCAATTAT